CACACACACACACACACACACACACCTCTCTGTCTGTCTCTGTCTCTCTCACACACACACAGATACACCTCTCCCTCTCTCTCACACACACACACACCTCTGTCTCTCTCTGTCTCTCACACACACAGACACACACCTTTCTCTCTCTCTCTCTCTCTCTCTCTCACACACACACACACACACGCACACACAGACCCCATGAGAAAGGATCACAGATGTTTATGTTTAACCAGTGCTGGAGGTGGGATCCAGGACCCTGCATAGTCTAGACAAGCCCTCCATTACTGAGCTATAGCCACAGCCTTTTTATTTTATTATTTTTTATGTGTATCAGGGTTTTGCCTGTGCATGTGTGCACCACATGTATGCCTGGTGCCCGTGAAGGCCAGAAGAGGGCATCAGATCCCCTGGAACTGGGGTTATAGACAACTGTAAGCCACCTTGTGGGTGCTGGGAACGGAACCCCAGTCCTGTCTCTGAAAGAGCAGCCGGTGCTCTTAAACAGTAGGAGCTGTGGGAGTGGGGACGATGACCATGGGTGATTCTGTTACTAACGACAACCCGTGAAATGTCCCAGCTCCACAGGCCTCCGGGAGTCTGAGCGCTTTGGGACGCCACCTGGCAGGGCCTCAAGCATCACCAGAGCTGGAAAAGAGGAAGGCGGCAGCAACAGCAAGTACAGAGGCGGCCGGGTAAGCAGTCTGTCCACCCTTAGGGCCAGGCAGTCTCTCCTGGATGGACCTATGGCTCCTTTGTCACCTGGGAACCCGGAGCAGCCTCAGGTCACAGGTGCATGCAGGAGAGCCACCATGTACATAGGCCCTTGCTTAAGACAATGCACAGTGACAAGCGTCCAAGGCAGAGTCTATGGCAGGGTGGCTAGAGACTGTGGAATCGCCTCATCCTGGCCTCCTGAAGCAAAGAGCCCCACGGGTGCAGAGCACCTCACACAGCTGGCTGCCAGGAGGGGTCAGGGAGCCCTAGACCTGAAAGCCTCTGACTTAGACCAGCAAGGAACCTCTAGTGTACCCAGCAGGGCCGCACACAACAGGGCAGCTGGCCAGAGACCAAACAGACGCTCTAGCTGTAGCCAGCATCGTGGTCGCCACACTCATGTCTTCCCCTGCGCTTGGTGGTCGCCACAC